AAGACAATTGAGATTAATATTAGCACGACCAGTATCACTCATTTTACGTTTCCTAAATAAAAAGATTCATAGTAAGTGTAATGTCGCTTTGCTAGGTATTTTCTTTGCTGTAAACAACACATACCTTTTAAAATTCATGGGAAGGTGAGAAACTAATTTCAATGATTCCTTCTTATTTATAATGTTCCACTCAACCCGAAATTTGCTAGAGGGATCTATTACGTTAGTGACTTGCTCTTTATCAAACGAATCTCCCATTCTTAACATAGCGGGATCTTCGAACCTGTTATTATTCGGCCTCCATAGAAACTGTTGTCATATGCCAAGGTGCATGAATATGTAGAGAATTGAGTCGTAGGCGCAATGAATGAAACCCCTTTGCGGTGTCGATCGCGCGAAGTTGGTTAATCGCAACGACGATCCGGAATTGCGGAGATTCTAAAGTTCCATAACCGGTATTTTCTGATAACAGCGCTGATAGGAAACAACGGCTTATTCACCCTTATTACCTTTTTGAGTTTCGTTTTCGCTTGTCATTATCGTAAAAGCATGTGTGATATAAAGTTATTTCCCAGCCTATATAAACGAAAAAAATAACGATCTTCTATGTCGATCTCGACGTGATGTGATTGGTTGATATTTATTCCGGTTTAATGATTATGCTCCGGATCTAATTAGTCTTATTTCGGGGTGTAATGGAATTTACGTAGCCCAATAATTAACTCTACCTTTTACTTTACGCTTTTTACTTTACGCTTTTGAATGGGGCGTTTCCTTATTGCACAGCAATGGCTCTTCGAGCCTACTGCTTCAGTCTTATGCATATGTATAACTTCTATTTCCGAACTAGATGTGGAAGAATTACCTGAATCACTATCCGAAGAATCCGAAGAATCTGACTCCCCAGAAAGTGATTTGTAAAAATCGTGAATATCTCTTTTATTAACAGATACATTAATCCTTGGCTTTTTTTTGGTTCTGAGGTCCTTAATGTGTAAGGTGGTTCTTACAAAAGCATTTTTTGCATCTATTACTATTTCCGGTAGATACGTCTGAAACTCATCATTATTGTATTTGCGTCCATAGAACCAATTAAGATATAGTTGGATGTTTGGAGATTATATTTTTCTACAAGTACTTCAGTCGGAATTGTGATGGATCTATAGCCACTGTGTGTCTGCCTCTGGCAATTACTAAGGTGATGATTGTTTATTATATTAGAAGTAAAGGTAAGTGGAATTATGGCCAATCCAAGTGGAGATGTAGTTTTCTCTCTGATGAATTTGCTATCTTTCTCTTTGGGAGTCAACTTTCTGCTAATTTTACCACCAATTTTCTTGAGGAGCTTATCACTACACATAGATGGACCAAGAAATCCTGGTTCAAGATGACAATTGACTTTTTGCTTTCCTACTTTAGCTTCAACTATCTTCACTTTTATGATTATTATTTAATGATATATAATATAACCAAAAAAAATAAGTCAGTAAATAATTACCCATTCTCCACTACTAAATAAAATTATTTGTAATCCATGATGAATGATTAGAATTAATTCTGCCAATCTCTCTGATATAATTTCTAAATGCAGAAATAAAATCCGTTCCAATTATTATGCCAATAGGAATTGGAGTATGTAAATCATCTGAATAATTGGAATATTTGATTTTAATTTTTGGATTGAATTTTTTTATTACTTCTTTGTTAATCCCTTTATACTCTCCCAAACTGAAATATTTCAAATTAGTACAGTTATGGGCTATTTCCTTGATAGCTTTATTCCTAATTGAGCAATTACCAAGCTCAAGATATCTAAGTTTTGGGCACAAGCAAGTAATTTCAGTAATACATCAATTAGTAAGACATATACATAAATTAAGACTCAGATGCTGTAGTTTTGGACAATATCTTGTAATTTCTATAATTGATATGTTAGTGAAATCATTACTTCAGTCAAGAATAAGAGTGCATATATCTGGATATGAGAATAAAATCACACTAATTAACACATCTTTGATTTTTAAATCTTCCAATCTGAGATATACCATTTTTGAATAATAAAGAGATTTTGTCTTTCCATATATAACTCTTTTAAACTTCATCAATTATTAATAAAGAGATCCAGATATATTTTTTTCACACTGATCCTGCTGATAACCTTCTATAAAAAATTCAATATGATGCCATAGAATAAGAGCATTATAATGATACTAAAGGTGATTAATAAACAGAATGAGATGGAGGGATCAATCGATTTCTAAAAAATATAAGATCTATCCTAGTAATTCTGGTAAATCAAAAATATTTAGATCCTTTGGGTTATGATTATTTGAATCATCTAATGGTCTGCTCTGCAATAGTTATACCATTCTCAAATTGTATATTATATATTTTTAATCAAAAAAAATTAATACTTGGATAATTAATTTTTAGTAGTAAATACTATAGATATTATATATCACTTTGAATTTTCTTAATATTTTTCAAAATGCTCAGCCTTTCTACTAACTCATCTAATAGAAGGTCTAATCCATATTTTTTGATTTCTATCTAATTCTCAGGTGATAATTTACAGATAAATTAATGTTTAAAATGATCTTTATTATGTCTAGTTAATTTACAATATTTTTTTGCTTTCATGTAAAAATCCATTATTGAACTCTTTTCTTATCTCAAATTTCTGAATTGAAATTTTTAAATATTAGTATATCCAAATAAGATTCTATTTAAGTAATTAATTATTTCATTCAGAGATTTTTTAAAGCTAAATCAAATTACTTTTTTTATTATTTCATGATAGGCCATTAAAGAAAGTTTTCTTAAGATCTTGATTATCTAAGTTGATATCTAATACTGTAATGAAAGTAAAGAAGCATAATTAGTAATTGTGTAGATTTATAATATTTGATATCTTAGTACTTTTTTTTCTAGTCATTAGAATATTTGATCTGTTATTCATCATACTGTTATCTTTTTGATGTGAATTTTAAGATAAGATGAGTATTAAATCTAATATTATAAAAACATGTGATAAAAATATCTATATACTTAAAGTGATGTTTGAGAAAGTCTTTAAAAGATTTATTGACAAGAATATTTCTATTATTATTTTAAGATTTATCTAAAGATAAATAATAATAATATTCTTATTGTGACTAGCTAGAATATAGTCCAATTTCAAAATGTAATTTTCAAGACAGATATAATATTTAGTTTATTAACAAGACAAAATAATAGATCTTAATCAAGATCTATTCTACAAGAGAGATTCCTTAGAATTCTCTTAAA